ATGAACTTCGAAGATGAAGTGAAGGAATCTAGACATTAACGTGAGCTATTTACAAGAAACGTAATAAAAAAGCTCACTTCCAGGGAAGCATGGAGCTACAGCGCTGCCGCCGGGGCAGTTGGGACCTGAAATTTTTGAATGAAATCAATTTCAAGGTACAAATCAATATTCAAAGATGAAATAGAGCAATCTACACAATAGAATGTAGTAATTGTAAAGAACGTGATAGTGAAGCTTACTTCCAGGTCTACATGGAGCTACAGCGCTGCCGCCAGGACAGTTTGGACCTGTAAATTTTGAAATGTAGTAATATAAGCGCTGGACAAATTTTCAAATTTTTGAGGCGGAAAAGAACTTCGAGATGAGTGAGCAAATTCTCACGAACACGAGAATCCGTTTTGGCTCAAAAGGGTTGGTTACAGTATCCCCGAAGATTGCGCGTGAAATCAAATGTAGCGGGCCGTGAATGCACACAACGATACTATTACATCGTGGGTTCAGCCAAGACGTGCTAGACACGCTATCCTGGTCGCGTGTGGGTATGCGTGCGGGATCCAGGCGGGTCGCTTTCCGGGGTACTGTATGCGCGATTCTGTGGGTACGGCCAGACATTTTTAATTCCACATGCAGTTTTCGGGGGTACTGTATACACCCTGACTCCCTGGACCTATAGTCTTGTTTAACCCGCAAGCTACTGGACTGTGGACTTCTATTAGATCTGAGCCGTTATTAGTTTACACCATCCTGAAATTGTAATACAATACCAGCGCAAATTTATATGCTATGCCATTTTCATATTGAATATGCTGAGTAGAAATATCACGCACTTCCAGGAATGCAGTTGGTTGTACCACCCCCACAGTTCGGACCTGCAATTTTGCACGGAGTCACTATCATAGTAAAAAAAAATAGTCCTTCTGGGTGAACTAAAGCACTTGAGTTTTGTTTAGGAGTTCAATAGTATAGCTTACTTCCGGGAATGCATGGAGCTGCACCAAGGCGGGTGGGGCAGTTGGGACCTGTAAATTTCAAAATGAAGCAATATGACCGCTAGTGTAGCAGGGGTCTGCAGTTCAACCACAAAATAGATTTAAGTTATTGGAGCAGGGAAGAACTCCAGCAGGAGTGAGTAAGCTCTCAGGATCTGCGGATATCCGTTCTGGCGTGAGGCTGCGTTCATACTTTGCCGCAGCGTTCACCAGCGACCACAACACACCACGCTTACCAAGCATAGCGAATAAGAAAGTGTAGATATCGATCTGGTGTCTACCAGCGTTTACCAACGACCAGCAGCGTCTACCAGCGACCAGCAGCGTCTCAAGGGCTACGAAAGTACAGGTGTTGGTCTAACGTCCAGCAGCGTCGACCAGCAGCGTTGAAGAATGGAGAGTACTGAGAGGAGGCTGGTCGCTAGTGGACACTGATGGTAGCTGGCAGACGCTGGTGGGCGCTGGTAAATGCTGGATCGATATCCCCACTTTCCTTTCGTTGACGCTGCCGGACGCTCGAAACGCTGGTGGTCGCTGGTGGACGCTGCCGCAAAGTATGAACGCAGCCTAAAGGAGATGGTCCACTCCACCGGAGCACCGTGAATCTGTTACACTGCGAGTCTGGCTACATCCGCGCTGATTTAAATGTGTAACATCTTAAACCGCAATGCAGTAACAATCTGGTTTTATAAGCCATCCTATTTTCAGGATATGTTGAGTAGAAATATTGCTCACTTCCGGGAATGCAGTTGGTTGTACCGCCGCCACAGTTGGGACCTGTAATTTACACGAGATCAGTACCATGGTCCAGAACGAATTTTTCTGGATGAAGTCAAGCAATCTCTCCACACCTCAAGTATTATTGTAAGGAACATAATAAGTACAGCTTACTTCCAGGTATGCATGGAGCTGGATTCACGCCGCCACCGCAGTTGGGGCCTGTAATTTTTTTGTAGTGAAGATAATACAATTCACCTGGATCACTTCAGAACTATTGTGCAGTAAGTCCTACTGTGCGATATTAGACTATTTACAATCAACTACTTTGGAAAATGAAATTATTCTTTCTGTGTTTGTTCCGACACCACGTTCTGGGCGTATAATTGTAGCCCGAAACAACTGTAAATGTCAACAACGAAACTACCGTTATGACGCTTTTCCAAGATGAATTTGAGTAATTTACGCCTTCCTTCAAGCTATTAATATCAAAGTCGACAGGATGACTTACTTCCAGGGAAGCATGGAGCTACAGCGCTGCCGCCGGGGCAGTTGGGACCTGAAAATTTCAAAGTGAAGCAGTATGAGAGCTGGTGTAGCATGGGTCCGCAGTGCAACACAACACAAATTCTCAAATTTTGGGCTCGGGTCAAAGGGCTATTGAAGGACTGGATCAAAGGGCTTGGAAATGAGTGGGAAAATTCTCAGGAGCGGCAAAAAAAACAGCGATATCCATTTCAGCAAGGAGTGGTTCACCTACACCGGAGCATCTTTTAACAGCAACCTATTGTACTGCGAACCTCTGCCATACCCGCACCGTAAGTAGCATTCTCAAAATTGGAATAAGATCGCTGTGCGATTTTATACTGACTATATTGAACAGAAATATATTACTTACTTCCAGGAATGCAGTTGGTTGAACCGCCGCCACAGTTCGGGCCTGTAAATAGAGCATTAAGGTAAGCTAGCGACAGTCGAAGAAGGTTTTTTCCGCAATGAAATGGACTTACTTCCAGGTGCACAAGCGCCTCTTGTGGCACCAAGACTGGAGCCTTTAGCTCCTCCTCCACCGCCGCCACCTCCGTAACCTCCGCCGCCGGTGCTATAGCTACCTCGACCGCCTCCACCACCACCTCCACCGCCGCCACCGCCGCCGCCTCCTCCTCCACCACCAGTGGAGAGTACTGGCTGAAAGTACAATAAATAATTTTGTATGGCACTGACTTCAGTTCTTTCAAAGGAAATCACAAACTAAAAAATGTTATTTGATTGTGGAAAAGTGACAGCAATGGGCTCACCAGAAG